TATTAGAAAATTTAGCCACAGCTAAAGTTTGAATGGAAATAAAAAGTATGCAAGAGGAAGTAATCAAATTACCACTGCTCATGATATCATATTATATAGAGAAAGTCCTAAGGAATCCCAAAATAACTGGTAAAACTGATAAATTAGGCAAAGTAGGATATAAAATTAATATATAAAAATCAGTGACTTTCACACACAAAACAATGAACTCACCACAGAAGAAATCAAGAAATTCCATTAATAACTACATCAAAAGATAATAAACATTTGTAAGAGAAAAACTCAGTAAGTTTATGAAACGCCACTACAGTGAAAATTATAAAACAGTGAAGAAAGAAATGGAAAAAGATGCCAGAATATGGAAAGGTCTTCTGTGATCCTATATTAAAAGAATGATATTGTAAATATAGACCTACTTGGGGGAACTATCCTCTCGGGCCCCTCTCCTGTCCCTCTCTTGGACAGGAGCTTTCTTTCTCTCAATAAATATATTCTGCTCATTAAAAAAATAATAAACAAATATAGACCTACTTTCAAAAATGACCCATAGATCCAATGCAACCCTCCTCAAAATACTAATGGCTTTCTTCACAGAGCCATTAAAAAGAATCCTATACTTCATATGGAAGCGAGAAAGAGCCCTTATAGCCAAAACAATCATGAAGAAAGGAAATCTGGAGGTATCACAACACCTTATTTCAAAAGATTTTATAGAGCCATAGCAACAAAAACAGTGTAGTACTATTATCAAAAACCACACAGATCAATGGAGCAGAACTGAAGATCCAGAAATTCACATATCTACACATCTTCAATCAGTGAAGTGTCAGCATTGGTGCTCAAATAATATATTGGAGTAAGGATGGCTTCTTCAATAAATAGTGCTGGGAAAACTGGATATCCATGCATAGAAGACTGAAACTAACCCCTATCTCTCACATGGTATAAATATTAATTCAAAATGCATCCAAAGCCTTAATGCTATGACCTGGAATTGTTGAAAAAGTATAGGAAAACTGTAGACGAAAGCCCCTTACGATATTGGCACTGGCTGTGATTTCCTGCATAGGACTCCAATAGTTCAGGGACAAAAAAAAGAATTGACGAATAGAATCAGGTCAAATTTTAAAAACTTCTACGGGGCAAAGGAAACAAATGACAAACTGCAGAGAAAATCTCAGACTGGGAGAAAAGTCTTTCCCGGCTGTTCATCTGACAGAGGATTAATATCCAGAATATATAAGGAACACACACAAGAAATAACAGCAACTACCAAATGTAAGTGGTCCAATCAGAATCAGCAAATGATCCGGAGGCAGTCCGTAGAAGAAGAAATACAAATGGACAATAACTATATGAATATATGCTCTATATACTTGCCATCAAGGAAATTAAATCAAAACTGCATTGACATTTCATCTCATGCCAGTTAGAGTGGCTATTACAAAAATAAAAACAACAATAAAATAAAATTCTGAAGAAAAGGGAAAACAGATGCACTGGGGGTGGCAGTGCACACTGTACATTATACAACCATTAGAGTATGATATGAATATTACTGAAAAAACACGACCATATGATTCAGCAGTATGAGTCCAAGGTTTACTCCTGAAGGAAATGAAGTCACCATGTTTACTGTAGCCCTATTCATGATAGTGCAGAGATGCAATCAACCTAGCTGCCTCTTGACACATCAACAGAAAATAAAATACTGTGGGTGCGCTGTTTGGCTGTGTACATATATTTTAATAATATACCATATATATGTGATATATGGTTCCACATATATAGAGTAATACAGACTATATGTCATATATATACCATAATATACCTAGCAGCAATCATACCATATGAATACCAATTATAATATACAAGGGCTGATTAAAAAGTAGAGTGAACATATTTATTTTTCAAACTTACTACAGTGAAAGACACCTTGCCTTAATCCGCCACCCAAATATTCTTCCTGGCTTCAAGCACACTTAATGCACCATACCTGCAATTTTCTGGAATAGCTCCTGAATCCTCTTACATGTGTACTAGGTGGGATGAAAAAAAAATGTGCTGAATGCTCCAACAGAAAGGAGGCTCCTAGAAACACGGTTTGTACTTACCCACTTTATGCACCAGATGTCACTGTAAGACTTCTGGCTCTTTCATAAAGTCAAAATGATAATGAAAATAAATGTGTTTAGTGCATTCTAGAGTTGCCATGGGAGCACAACAAAAGGCACTCAGAAAGAGGACTTCCAGACCTGTTTCAGAAAGTATCAAGAATGGTGATATCAGAGTGTTTGTTAGCAAGACATAACATGTGGAGAAGGACTAATGGTAACCTGCCTTTTAATGTGGGAAATTATTTTAAAATTAAGTACAGCGAGCTTGCAGGTTAGCTCAGTTGTTTAAGTGCTTGTTCCAGCAAACCCAGTCAGGTGCAAGGGACCAACATTCAATCCCCAGCTCCATGTGCCTTACCACTCCCTCCCTAAGGCAGCTTGAGCCGTCCAAAAACAAAAAAAATTCTTCTCAACTTTAGGGCTGGCCAAATAACTCAACAGATTAAAGCACCTACAAGCAGGCAGAGCCAGGGGTTCACTCCCCAGGCCTGCCATGCTGGCCCTGCCCCCATGGCATGCTTAGATGGAAACTGAAACTGGGTGTGGTGACACGTGCCTGTAATCCCAGCATCTGGGAGGTGAAACTATGAGTCCACTCTATTAGTGAGACTCTGAACACCCTGTAGACCCTTCCAACACAGAAAATTTTTAAAAAAAATTTAAAATTAAGTACACACTATAAGTTTTGATCACTCCTTGTGTAGACAGCCTATACACACCCAAAAAGAGTTTATACAGTCCTAGGGATGAAATCCTGTCACTCACAGAAAGACGGATACTTCTGGAGGGCAACATGTGTCATTTCAGCTTTTCATCCCTGGGACAAAATGCTTGACACTGCCACCCAAAGGAGAAGATATTTATTAGGCTTCAAGTTTTACAGGGTGCAGTCCATGGGTACTTGGCCCCAAAGCAGAAATGGCTTCGCTGATGGAATGCAAGGTGCTCAAGCAGGACAGTCAGGAAGCAGAGAGAAGGAAAAGCCAGACTGGCAGGAATCCCTCCAAAGGTAGTACATCCCCAGCCACCTCCTCCACTTTGGCTCCAGATACCGACCACACATTCACCTAGGAACTGAGCAATACATGAGTACAGCATCCTCATGATCAAATCACCTTGCCAAAGCCTCACTTCTGAACACAAGAGACTTCTGATTTTTTTTTTATACAGAGCATATGTTAAGTGAATGAAATCAGATGCACAAACACACCAATAGTGTAACATAGTTTTGCGCATGTGTGTGTGTGGGAGGGGCTAGATAATTTGTGGTAGCAAAGTGGCTTTTAGAGATTGGAAATGGGGTCCGTGGTTAGGAGGAGAGAAGGGGGATGAAGGACATGATCAGTGAGTGACAAATATGTGTATGGAAATGCCAGAGTGTAAACAATGAACTTGTAAAATGGATATGGATGAATAATTATGAAAAGATATAATCAAAATCTGTCAGAAACTTGTCCATCTCAGATGAAATGCATACAAAATGTGTCAGCATGACGATTCCATTCTTGTGATGTGTGTGCATATTTAGGTTTGCATACATGAATTCATCGTTCCAAATGATTCCAAAGTGTGGCTTGCAGAACTTATATGCAATGTAAATAAATGTACCTGATGCCTCCCCATCCAGTTTGAGAAATACTCTTGGAAAGTGTATTATTTATTTGCCTCATCATGGGAGACTGCTTCTTTTCCTCAGAATGGAGCTGAGCTTTGTAAGAAGATGCTCATGTAAGAGAATTACAGGAGCTTGTGCCTGAACACTGAGACCCTAAGAGAAGCACAATGTTAACGTCATCCTTTAGGGCAAGTCGCCAATCCCCTCAGTATCTCTTGTCAGAAAGTGACTCTCCAGCCTACAACTCTGTGACGTAAATGTCCATCAAGAATTGAAAAGTGGCATGTGCTTAGGTAATTACTTCTGCAAAAGAAAACGGTGCGTGCACAATGTGTCATCTGCTGATATTTCAACTGTGCCTACCTGTATATAATTACACACTGAAAACTCAGGACCGCTATAATTTTCATTTCAAGGACTATGCCTGCTTGTTGTCTGAAGTGCATGCATTAGCAAAACATAGAGCATAGATTGTGCAGATTACCTTTTCAACTCTCACCTGAAATTCAGAACAGGTAATTGCCAGTGATTTGCTATGAAAGAGCTCACAGAACCAACTGCAAAGCAAGATTCTATGCTATTTGCTGGTGCTGTTTGGAGGTGAAAGTTCAAGGCTGAAGTTGTCAAGGACATAGCAAACAAGCAAGCATTTGGCATCAGCTCTCTGTGAGAGATGGTCTGCAAAGACCACCTGACTTCTTTCCCCTGCAGACTGCTAGCTCGAGAGGTCTCACGGAGCACCTTCTGGAAGGGGCACAGGTGCAGCAGTGCGTGCAAGCACAGATGGAAGCCTGCAGAGAGCTTGGAAAAGGCCCATTTCCCATGCAGCTGGGTGCAAGTCAGAACACTGATCACGGTATATGCTGTATGAAAATGCTCAAAAGACTAGTGAGGAATAAGAAGAAGTATCTGTGTGCCCTCACCATCCTTCCTTCTTCTTACAGTCCCTACTAGCCAGGAGTCATCCCTTTTGAAGTTCCTGTTGTGCCAGTTTATATGCCTGCTCCTGTAGGATCCTGGGCAGAGCACCTGACAGAGTCCCATGGCCTCCCAAAGGCCAGGCTCTGGAAGAAGCACGTGTCCTTTCTTATGAAGATTTCTTCACAAAGTACCTATAGGGTACAGCCTGGTGGATCTGCTTTAAGGACAGTCAGGGAGAAGCAGGGTGGGAGTGGGGGTATGCAGAGCCTTGTGCTCCTGGCCCAGATGGCTCCCAGCTGGAGAAGGGGAAAGAGCAATGCAGGACACACAATATGCAACCTCCAATGCTACTTTTTATTGTGAACATAAACAGCCATCTGGAATGGAAATAACACACAAAGAACAACTGGCCATTTGGATGATTATTGTCGCTTGGCCTACAAATTAACCTTGGATTCATGGTGAGTCAAACCTCCAACCCCAGTCAGGGGTGTGATTATGGGTTGGTAATAGAGAAATAATAAGCTAGATGAAGAGCAATAAGACATCCAAGGGTTCCTTTCAGGCCATTTATTTGAAGGCTTCTGCTGGGATCTTTTGCTGGGTCTGCAGGGAAGGAGTTGGAATGTCAGAAGGGCCAGAAGCCCTGAATTCCATTCCCGGGCCACCCCAGCCTCTACCTTCATGAAGGCCCAGAGCATCCACCTTTCACTTTATTCTCTAAACTCACCTGGAGCATTATGAAGACCTCAGCAGCTCTGGAGTAGTCCCACTGATTGTCCTCAAGACACCTGGATTGGGAGAAGTATAGGTTATTCTCCTCACCACCTCAGCACAGACACACTGGCCACACAGTGGTTAAGATGTCAATCTTAACCTAGGCTGATCTTTTGCTGCTACATATTCCAGAATGACAATATTTATGATGAAGATACAAGAATGTGAAAATCAAAACATCTGTCACTAATATTCAGGCCACTAGAATTAAAAGCAGAAAACCAAGAGGTTTCACAACAGTTAAGGAACTTAATACATAACAATAAAACGATGCTTAAATAAATGACAAATAGAAATTAAGAACTAAATTTCCTCCAACCATTCCAAGATTGGCATACAGAACACATACTGTAGTATGAAGAACTAAGGTTTGCTTTCCTCATATGTTCATGAGATCCCACCTGTCCAATTCCAAAACATATCAACTCAAAATAAACTGCTTACCATTAGAGATCTTTCCCTATTTTTCCACTTTGCACAGAACTGTTGAACTGTCAGAACTGTTGCCAGACAGTTGGCAACCCCTGTCTTTCTCCTCTCCTTTTTGTTCTCTATGGATGTGTCTGTTCTGGCCATTTCATATACATGCAGTCATACAGTATGTGCCCTTTGAAATTGGTCTCTCTTACAGAGAATTCTGTTTTCAAATTTCTCCTGTCATAGCATGCATCAGAACTGCATTCTTTTTGAGGACTAAATAGTATCCAACTGTTTGTATGTTCTGCATTGGTTCCTTCCACTCATCACCTAGACGATGTGTGTCACTTCCATTTTGTGTCCATTTTAAGTATTAGTGGTTTTTAGAGTGAACACATTTTCATGGTCACAGTGTATACTCAGAGGAGCAGGATTAATGGGTGAAACGGTTAACTCCATGTTTAATTTTTAGGGGAACTGGCAGAGTGTTTGCCCCAGTAACTCCTCAATTGTATATTCTACAAGCTTTACACAAGATTTCCAAATTCCCCACAAGCTCGCTGAGACCTGTGACCTTTTTGTTTTTTTGTTTATAGCCATTGTAGTAGACTGGATGCAGCAACTTGGCTTTGATTTGCACTTCCCTAATGAACAGTGTTGATGACATATTTTTCTTGTGCCTGTTAGCTGGATGTGTATCACCGGAGAAATGTCAATTCAAGTCCTCTTCTCATGGTTCAATTGGGTTGCTTGTCTTTTTACTGTTAGATTTTAAGAGTTCATCGTGTATTCCTGTGAGATTTGGGTTCGATCATTCTGGCATTTGGCTTTGCACCTTCTCGGTTGGTGCCCTTCAATATACAATAGCTTCCAAATTTGACAAAAGCCATTTTTCCTATTTTTTTCTTTTTATGCTATAAAATCAGTTTTACAGCCCAGTTGTCACTGTTCCTGCCAGAGCCACTGTGTGTATCCACACCAGAGACTTTCCAAAAAATGGGCATCTGAGACAAATACAAACTTCTCAGATGAAGAAATACAAATGGCCAATAAAAGTATGAAAAAAGTTTCAACATGTCAGGTCATTTGAAGGATTCAAATCAAAATAATACTCAAATTTTATCTACAGAAAGAATGGCTATCATGAAAAACTCAACCAATAACAAACACTGGACAGAAATAGAACCCTTCTCCTGTTGATGGGAGTGTAGAATGGTGCAACCACTATGGAAAGCTGGGTAGAGATTCCTCATCACCAAACTGCAATTAGAGGTCATATTCGACCCAGCTATTTCCCTGATGGATATCTAACCTGAGGAATTAAAAACACCATACTACAGTGATATATGTGCATCCATGATTATAGCAGCACAGCTTATAATAGCTAAATCTTGGAAACAACCCAAATATTCATCCACTGAGGAATGAATATACAAGATGTTGTCTTTCAATACAATAGGGTACTATTCTGCCATAAGGAAGGATAAACCTAAGACATTTGTTGCTAAATGGATGCAACTTGAAACCATATACTTAAGTGAACTACATAGGAATGACATGTTTCAACTTTTCATACTCACCCTGGTGTGAGAAAATGAAAGTCAATAGATAGTGCAAAATGGAAAGAACCTGTTCATAAGAAAAGAGGAACTAGAAAGGTGAAGGTGTACGGAAGGAAGGCAAAATAAAAAGTAATGATTAAAAAGGGATAAAAGAGAAACAGTACTTTGTAAATGGGGGGTGGAACAGGGGTTCAAAGGAAGAGAGAGAACAGGAAAGAAAAGAAGAATCAAAATATATCATGTACAGGTACAATTTCCTCTGATGATGTGATCTTTATGTGTATCTAAAATGTACCAATAAATTTCATTTCAGAAGCTGAGTTTTGTTTTTCAGGTGATATAGGACAGCTAGATTTCCACTCACTTTTCGAACCTGGATATTGTATCGTTGAGTTTATTCTGGAATTGTTTTCTTTCCTTTTCTTAGTACATGCTTGCATTACATCTTTTTCTTCACCACAGGGGACTGGCACATGTACACAGCACATTTCATTTACTTCTTTTTGCCCTCTTCTCCGCCAATCTTTATTTTTCCAGCGTCAAACTGATTTATTTTTAAGATTCTATAAAGTTAACTATCATACATACAGAATAAAAACTAGACTACTAGTATCAAGAACATATAAAACATGTAAGACAATTGGACTAAGTCAAGTTAGATACATTGCATGTGCTGGATTAGAATATTTTTCTCTTTCTCTTTTACTAGTTTGCCATAAGAAGGAAAATGGGTAACACTTGAGGCCACAATGTTAAGTAAACACAGACACAGAAGTTTAAACATTTCACGTTTCTCTTACATGAAAAATTCTGTGTCAAAAACAAGAAAACAAGACAAAAGTAAACAGAAAAGATAATAAAAAATAATATATTCTAAGTTATTTCTCTTTTTTGCTCATGGCTTTGTTGTCATATATAAGAAATTATTGTTTTAATTTAAAGTCATGAAGACTTTAAATTCACATTTTCTTTTTTGGGTTTTATACTTGTAGTTGTTATTTTTTTGGAAGCTTTTATTTTACAGAGGGTCTTATATGAAGTTCAGACTCATAGTGATCCTCCTGTATGAGCACCCTTAGCACTGGGATTACCGGTGTGTGCCACCATGGCCAACACTGTTTTTGCATTTCAAATGTTACTTAATCTTAAATGTATCACTAGATTATTTTAGCTTTTTTATTCTATGGATTTTCTCATCATTACTCTTGCACTATTTCATATATTTTGTTTAGGAAAGAATGTAGGCATGTACCTATTTGGACTTCATTTCTTCTTCCTCATCTCCTAATAAAAGATCTTAAATCAAAAAAAAAAGTAGCTCATTTTCTATCAATATTTGTGTATGTTCCGATTATTTGGGTGTGGTGTCTAAAAAAAATCACTATTTTGTAACTGGGTATCAACTACTGTTTGTTCAAAGACCACATTTTCCCCTAAATGGGATTTTTTGGCAGTCTGGACAATAATCCATCAAACATAAATGTGAGTATCTGGTCAGCAAAGGAACTATTCAGTTACATCTTGTAGACTCCTGTGCCTGTCCACACACACTAACACACAGCTTGTTCACTGAAGCTTTACAGCAGGTTCTGAAGTCCAGAAGTGTGAATCTGCTATCTTCAATCGGCTCTTTCAAGATAGCTTTGGCTGTTGCAGGTCCACTGCACTTCCATTTGAAGCTTAAGAAGACATTCAAACTTTCTGTGAAGAAGCCTCCAGCATTTTGACAGGAAGTGTGTTGCATCTCAAGATTCCACGAGGCAGTGTAATAAATCTTAATCACATCAAGTCTTCAACCAATGAACATGACATGCATTTCCCTGTTCAGACCTTCTTTAACATGTTTCAGCCACATTCTGCAGTTGTCAGAGTGTTAACGGTTGGCCCGCTTTATTTTTTTTCTCTCAAGAGATTTACTCCTCTTGACCCTATTGTGAATCTATTTGTTCTTTAACTTCATTTCCGAATTGTTCAGTGCAAGTACAAAGACATCAAAATAAACTCATACATCAGTTACATATGTGGCAAACTTGCTGAACATTTTAGTTCTAGCATCTTGTACTTAAGGATTCATTTGGATTTCCATACGAAAGTGGCTTTTATACTTTCTCATCACTATGACAAAATGCCCAACATTCACAAAGGAGGAAAATAAATAAAAATAAAAATAAAAAATGGAAGGCGGAAACATTTTCCTTGGCTTACAGTGTGTAGTTTTCAAACCACAGTTAGCTGGCTCCAAGGCAGGGTGGCAATGCAGAGAAGAAGGAGCTCATGGCATTCTCCCACAGGGACATACCACTTCAGACCTGGCTTGCTCTCCTCACATCATCCCAGATAGTCAACCCACCAGTGGACTAAAGCAGTGACATACACTGGTGAGCTAGTATTGCACCCCCATGCCCCAGTCACCTCCGCAAATCCTCACCTATGTGCTGTGAGTGCAGAGGCTTTGCGGGGACATCCAGAAATAAGCCATTACAAAAGCCATTGTCATTTGAGGATCACACTGTTTCAGAAACTCTTTCCATGCATCAGTATAAAAGCATGATGGCCTTTTCATGGACCCATGTGTTGGGGACACAAAAGATCCACATGGCTCTTTCCCCACACCTCATGTGGGTATCCATAATTCATTCTCCTGCTTGTTCAACTACATGATACTCAAAGATATGACCCAGCACTCACTTCTGAGACCACTCGAGTTTCATTCTCGATTGCATGGAGAAAGCCTGCACCATTGCCAGATGATCCGGGGTGAGGGTGGACATGGAGCTGCAGCAGGGCATTGCCATGGTCAGGGATAAGGCACGATGGATCGCCTCAGGGGGAACATTCCTCAGGAGCAGGTGGTCGTTCACAATGCACAGACTGGAGGGAAAATAGACCTGGGATCAACTGAATAGGTGGACAAGCCGTCCTACCAACAACAAAATCCTTTAGAATAACTGCCACACAGCAATGGCATTTCTTCCATATCGCCCATATTGTACCTGGCTCCCAGATTGTGTGGCTGTTACCCATAGAGCATCACGTTGGGGAAGATAGCTACCTACTTCACTGCACATCTACATTTAACCCCAAAGCATTCTTAATATACAGCAGCTCACGGATCTGACTGTTCTTATCCCTATAGTCAGAGAAAGATCCCAGTCACAGAGCAATCAAGTAATTGGACCAAGGACAGAGCTGGTGAGATTTGGGGTCAGGAACAGATGTTCCAATTCTATAGCCTTCACTCAACATATTAAGCTAGACTCATCCTTGGGTATACCTGGTTACCTTTCATTATATCAAGAATATTTAAGGAGGATTGTACAACCACACTGCAACACTAGCCCCAGGCTTGAGGGGGGTGTTCGCATATACAACACAACACTTACCAGGTACTCTTGCCAGGAGTAGCAATGAAAGTCCGGGTGAAGGCACGAACAAATCCCTGAGACTTTCCATGTACTTCAATGACAACAAACAGAAATACCCACTTAAGAGTTGCCCATTTTTCACTCACTGACACACACAACATTCAGCAATCAGATCATTACACTGAAAGGGGCAGGACCCGAACAGTTGATCATCTGAAGTCCAGAAGATGTGGTGGAAATGGGGAGGCAACAGTAGAAGCAATCCTGTACCAGAGATGGGTCCCCTAACATTTTTGGGGGAATACCACTTTAAATGTGAAAAACAGCATGAAAACTACAGCAAGAGTTCACTTGACTCCCACCTCATATCTGCCTGAGAAATGGGTACTAATGTCTCTCTTTGCAAAGAGAGGGAATGCAGAGGTTAAGGCGATGCCCATGGTCATGGAGGAAGGACCTGGGAGGGGAAACATCCAACTCCCCGACCCGTCTCCCTAATGACTGAGCTGCAGGGCAGAGAGGCATACATCTAGGTCAGACTAGGGTGTTTTGTGAAGACAGAAAACACAGAGGGATGGAGGGGCAGGAAGGACAGGCATAGAATCAGGAAGGCTGGGAGACTTCTGAGAGGGTCCCCACACAGGGAGCAAGAGCAGCAGATATCTGGACAGGGGATACTATACACACACTTACTTTCTTTGAACACTCCATGGACAGAAAAGCAGAGCATTTTTTCCTGAAAGGGGACAAAAGAGCAGCTCAGGGTCCTGTTTAACTTCCTGTTGTCTCCAACTTTGTGGTCCTTCCCGGTGAGGAAGCAGGTGCTTACCGTCTGGAGAAACATATCCACCATGAAATTATCATAGTCATGCTGAGTTCTGGGCAATAGACTGAGGGAGTCTACAATGTCACTTTTTCCATACTTCAGCAGCATTCTGATTATGGCTACACAAAAGAGCAGGAGATAAGTTCAGCAAAATGGAATATCCTGTCCCTTTGGTCCTGTAACTGGCACCCTCACATAGCCTTACTCTTCAAAGCCCTCCCCTCACACACTTACAGGGCTCTTTGATGTTCTTCACATTCCTGCTATACTTGGTGTACTCATGCAAGTTAGTCCTGTGGAGGGAGAGGGGCACAAGAGGTGGTGGTCCAGCCTAACATGTATTTCCAGGAGCTGGGCCTTGTCTGCTGGGGAAGCCACACAGCCCAAACAGAGTCTGAGCTATGATACTCACGTATCTCGATCCTCAGGCTTTAGGGGAATGGTCAGAGAGAAGCAGGCCTCTTCATGGTAAACATTAAGGAGACCCCGTCGATCTCCATAGTCATAGATCAAATAATACCTGCAGGGGAGCAAAGGGGACAGGCCATCTCTGTGCTCAGTATCCCCAGTGAGACCTGAGAGGCCCTAGGTTCACACATGTGCTAAGGTAGCCCATCCCATCTCAGGCCTCCCCATCCTTGTGGTGCCAGGGCATCTTACTCCTGCAGGAACTGCAGAATCAGATTCTTCAAGGTCTCATATCCTTCATATACTTCCTAGAAGACCAAATCATCTTTAGTTTATGACCTCCCCCACAACTGAAAATCTCTCTTCATCCTTCTTCCTCACCTTGCAGCACTCTACTGACTTGGGAAGATCAAAGTCAGTGACATTTGGTGAGCATAAATCCTGGCCATCCTACAGAAGGAAAGAGAAAATCACCAGTGGAAAGCACATTCATGGCACTGGACGACCAAAGAGAAGAAAAAGCCTGAGGGTGAGGAGCTAGGCTAGGAAATGGACCTCAAACTCCACGGGGGATGTTCCAGTAGGCACCTGTCATGGGGTCCTGGAAATCTACACCAGAATATGCAGGCTTTGTGTGCACATGTGTGTTCACGTGTGCTCACAGACATGTTACTGCGGGAGAACATTCAGGCCTTCCTCGGGAAGCCACATCCTCTGAAACAGATGAGGCAGCAATGCAAATGTGTAAATGAGGAACAAGGCCAAGGGGTACGCAGGCATGGATGGAGGTCATGTATGAGAGAAAGAGGGGGTGATGACAGAGCTAGGTACTCACCAGACGTAACAACTTCGGGAAATAATCCAGGATGGCACTATCCAAAACAAATTCAATTAGAATGATTGTCAGTTCCGCCCTGCTCAGCCTGTCTCCTCTTGACTC